GGGGGCAGGCGGGCGCAGGACAGCGTCCCGGAGGCACCGGGGCGCGGCGCGTGGCTTTCGGCACCCGACCGGCGCCAGGATTTGGCCGGTGAGGGGAGCAATTTCAAGTGAGCAGAGTGGATATTGCACGGAGTGGAAGGGGCAGGAATTGGCCATGATGGAAGATATGCCCTTGTATTATTCATCTACGAGCAGAGGGAAATCTACCCGGTTGTTCATCATAATCGTGATGCACTTGACTGGGCTTGAAGGAAAAGATGCTTCTCCTGGGAGGTGTGAGCTCTCAAGGCTCCCGCCAAACATCTCTGTCTCTCTGACCGAACTGGAACAGACTGCCGTTCCTTTTTTGTGTCAAGGTACTAGGACCTGCTGGAAGCGACGTTCGAGAGCCGCATCTTTCTCGATGTGTTGCCGGTACTCATCCAAGGTGGTTGCACCAACACAACGAAGGTCTCCACGAGCCAACATAGGCTTCAAGATATTGCCTCAAGAGTCAGGCAGAGATGGGATGTTCAAAAACAATGGCTCACCCCGAGATTTTCAGAAGACAACGCGGCCAACTTGACAACAGAGTCTCAAAGTCTGACTTCGATGTGTGAGTGAAAAGGAAATGCTAGAGTTGGCAGCAGTGCTGCGAACAATCAAATGAAGGAGCAAAGAGTCGTCATGGACATCTTGAGTCAATCTTAAATCTTGAGTACTTCCCACACATGACTTGAATCTTGGACTCCTAGAATCCACCTGTCGCTTGAGTGCCTCACCGAGTCGGCTGCACGAAACTGCGAGGCCGACGAGTGCGACCCCTCAAACAAAGGGCAGGCGGCTGGCATCCATGGCACCTCCACTAGCACCTGCACCAACCTGGGCTGAGAAAAGAGACATTTTTTTTAGGTGCGGAAACAAAACCCAAGGCCCATCTTTAGCTGAATCAAAGCCAAAAGAAGCAGTTCTGCTATCCTAAGGGCTTTTAGCAAAGGGAAAGTGTAAAATATAACAAAAACATTCCAAGCCAATGAGCGATTAAGTGCATCTCATCAATGAAAGTAATGACCTTCCCCTCTGACTCCTTGATCTCCTCTGCCAGTGTGCAATCATCCAACATAAAGGGCTTTGCTGAACAGAACAACAAAAGAACGTCTCATGACGCTGCTGGTCCCCCATGCTCCTTGAGAACTGCCTTCAAGCGCTCCTCGAATTCACCGCGGTATTTGGCCCCTGCCACCATAGCACCGATGTCCAGTGAGATCACCTCAAACCAGAAATGGTTCAGACAAAAGAGATTGGTTGTACCAACTATATCCCCTCCGAGCCCTAGTTCCTTCTTTAATGTGATGGAAAAGCAGCTGCTGACTGCATCAAGCACTCACAGCAAATCGAGCTCCTCGAGCCCCTTCCCTCATCTTCCCAGCCTGTTTGTCCTTCAAGGCCTCTGGCACATCCCCGTCCACGATGCGACGGGCTAGGCCCTCCACGATGGCTGTCTTGCCAACGCCCGGCTCCCCAATGATCACGGGGTTGTTCTTGGAGCGTCGCGCCAAGATTTGCACCTCGAATCGTTCGCGATTTTGGAGGTGCTCTTGGAGCCCTGGAAAGGAGCCAAAACGAAAGTCGCCGTGTTTCGGCTCTATCTGGTGTGAGCAGGTGTGGGGATAGAACCCGAGTTTCAAAAAGAAGGATCGAACCGATGGAACCAATAGAACCCCTTGACCCGTGATGCTTTGCTTGGACCAGGGGAATTGAGGGTCACCCTATGTTTGAGCCATGGCTGTGTGGTGTGCGGACTAGATGATCGGATGAAGGAATAATAAGAGTGGTGGCCTGGTCATTGCAAAGAAGTAGATGTCTTCCAAATGTCATAGCCGGCAAGGTTGAATGAGCAAGTCTAGCCATCCCAAGTTCGCCATACCCTCAAACAGCAGCGTGGATCCAGAGACTCAAATAACCGTCTACGTCACTTCAAGTCCCAACTTCGCGGCCGCCCGGACCGGGTCCAAGCTGCCACCCGTCGGATCTCCTCGTCGCGTCCGATCACCGGATCCAGCTTGCCATCGCGGGCCAGTTGGGTCAAATCGCTGCCGTAGGTGCTGAGCGCTTCATAGCTGGACTCTGCAGTTTGAGAGGTCACAGGACCTTTCCCCCTCACCTCGGTCGAAGATGTCGATGAAAAAGCGGACACCCATCAATTGAGTTCCCTCAACTCCCCGAGTGAAAAACCCGGCACAAACCGGGCCAAACCGGTCGAAAAGTACGCCAACCGCAAGAAATGTGCAACAAAGATCCACAAAGTCTTTTCACACGGAACACACTCCACATCACTCACAAGTCAGAAATAACGGACTTGTTTTCGAAGTGGCCGCTTGGATGGCTTCTTTCAACTTCTCCTCCTCGAGTCCAAAGTCCTTCATGAGCTTCTGCCCACAGCGCTGGTCTCTGGCCAGAGCAAGGAGCAAGGCATCCACGGAGATAAACTTGTCACCCCACCTCAGGAGTCACTTCCAATCAAGAAATCCAAACACATAGTCATACCGAGTCATACCGAAAAACTTGGTCTGGATGATCTTCGTTCCAAAGTCTCCCCCGCCACTCTGCGGCCCATGACTATGATCAGGAATATCTGTGCAGGGTTGGTTCTCTATCGATTCTTCTGCTGCTGGTGTGACCCAGGCTTATCCACGGGTCAGCTGTCAGCTGCTTACACAAGTCTTCCCAAAGCTCTTGTCTGACTCTCACCTCTAGATCTTTTATAGCTATTTCCAAACTGTTCCACTTCATATGCAAAAACCACCAACACGTCCAACTCCCGCATCCAACAGCCCCACCGGTCACATCCGAGGCCCAGCCACTGGGACGAGATCCCTTGCGCCTCCGTCAGCAACGCCACCAAGCTCCGCCCGGCCGCCGACCCCGCCGTTGCGCCGCCCGTGGAACCAGCGGCTCCGGTGACCAGGCGCGGTTGCCGCTCGGCCCAGGCGCGGACGTGGCTGCGGAGATCGGACTGGGGCACAGCTGCCTAGCGATGGACCACTTCGTGGGCGTGCGGCCGATGCATCCGTGGGCGGCGGACTGCTGGGCCCCGGTCGGGTCATGCGATCGGTCCTGTTCTTGGTCGTTCTCAGACACCCCAATGGGGCGTCGCAACACAGCGACAGTAACTGCTCAGCGGCCTTTGAGAAGATCTTTTCACCGACGCCATTCTCCTCCTCCGAAGGGCACAAACGAGCAGGAACCAAAACATGCAACACACTCGGATTTGTTCGCAGCAAATGTCGGCACCAAGACATGGCTGGCTGGTGGCACTGATGTTGATCATTACTGTACCTTCATACAACACATACAACATCTCACAACAAGGTGAGGAATTGACAGTCCAGCAAGGAGAGGAAAACGTGCTCTGTCTCGATGAACTGCGATTGCAACTGCCTGACACAAATTCTGAAAGCAAAGCGCAGGGCTGGGCGGTCGACATGCAAACTGAGTGGAAGCCTAGGTGTGGAGACAGCACCAGGCTAGCAGAGAGTTCCACGAGAGATGAGGCTGTGGGTCAAAACCAGGATACCTTCGTTGACCTAGGAAGGTCGTTCGCTGGATTGACATGATTTTGGGGCTCCAGGTCTTGACCCATCCCCATCAACCAAAGCATCCCCAGCCCTTCCCACCTGGCATTCTCAACGGCTGATTGCACTGCCTTCCAGCCAGCTTCGGTGTAAAGCTCTGGGGACAAAGGTATTCCATCCGGCGACCCATGGTCGGCATAGTGGCGCACCGTGCGCACCTGGGCCTCTGAGGCTTCGCAATCAAACAGGCCAGCTGATGGATCTGTCTAGCCAAAACAGCGTTCGTGGCATCCGTTCCAGCTTTTTCAAAAAAGGGTTTGATGTTCAATGGATCAAAACCGGTCCCTGCAGTTTTTAAGAGAAAACCGTTCCAATGTCGAATCTCATCCGCAAAAGCAGGCCTTGCCCTTGGAGCCCTTGGTGCTTTTCATACGGCCAGCTGCCAGCAAGGCAAGTGCCGAGGCTGCAGGCAACCATGCGTGAGCTGCCACGAGACCAGATGGATCAGATGCGTGAGGCGCCTGAGGGGCCTGTGCGAGCAGTCAAGTTGAGATGTGTTCCAGGCCGATCAACAGCAACATAGTAGGACGCTACTAGGGGCTCCTGGCCTTACTACTAGGAACAAGAAGCTACTAGGGGCTCCTGGCATCACTACTAGGAGCAAGGACGCTACTAGAGTGGCCTACTAGTAGGCGATGGCCTCCACCCTACTAGCGATGGCCTCCAACCTAGGAACGATGGCCTCCAACCTACTACGAGCAGCGATGGCCTCCAACCTACTGGCGAAAGCATCATTCCACAGCATGCCTAGAATCCCAAGAAAGCTACAAAAACTCAGAAATGGTCTGACAGGGCTGCTCTTGGGTCCACAAATGACAGCTTAAGTAGGTAGATCCTGGTTTTTCCTGAAAGCCATGGGGATGTGACTCTGACCGCACTTCCACATCTGGTACTGGGACACGCAGAAAAGAAAGAAAACACAGGGAAGTGATACAAATTGTTCTTCAAAAGCCTTCCTGGGTCTCAGCCCAAGAATCTTCCCAAACTCTTCAGTTGAGGCATCCACCCCTCAGTTCCCAACTCACCCAGCCACCTGAATCGTCTGGGCCAGGCCATTGCTCTGGACACATCGAAGCACTGGCTTTGGTGCCACAAACGCGGCATCACGAGGGGTGGAGAGCTGAGCTCCCATCTTCGCGCTGCGGCTTTGCTCGTGTTCGGTCTTGAACCTCCAAATGCTGGGAACCTCCTTCTCCACAAACACCATCCGGAGCTTCCAGGGTGGGAAGAACACACCATCCGGTTGTAAAAGTAAGCTTAAAAAGCCAATCCAATCTGTGCTTACATTCGCTATTCGGATGGAGGCCATCGCTGTTATTAGGTTGGAGGCCATTGCTATTAGTAACTCAACAGATGTTTGCTGTTTTTGGCTCACTCGTCACAAGCCTTGAACTGGAAGAGGGCCACATAAGTGCACAGCCTCAGCTGGCTAGCTCCAGGGCAATCAGCTGGCGAGCTTCGGGCGATTCAGCGGTTCAGCTGGCGAAAGCCCTTGGGCAGCGGACAGCGTCCCATCAGTTCTGTCCAATCTAGAACTTACAGTATATAAATGGTCCCTGGAGAAGATGTGTTCCCACTCTCCTAATTACTAGATACGAAGCCACATGCCCTTGAACCTGGCGAACCTGGCGTCTACCCTGGCATCTAAGTTGGTGACGTAAAAGGTTCCTTCTCCGTGGTCGCTCCCTGCCGAAGCGCTGACTGCAACGGAAGTTTCAATGATGAGAGATTGCTTCTGAATGTCGCTTTGACACAGCCAACTGACGATCTTTCAAAGCTCAGTAATGGAACAGCGTTCAAAGTAATGGGGGTCATCATTGGTGTCATAGAAGTCTCAAATATATCACAAAATGTTCGTCCGGGAATCTATCATCTTTCCGTTCGCCCCTTCTCCATCGCTTGGTTGACATGCAAACCACAGGAATGTATAACTTGCTATCTTGGCCGTGATCGTTCCATCCAGGTCTCTCTAGTTGCATCCGGACCTCGCAGCCATTCCTTCTGGCATTGGCTGTACCAGCAACAGACCGCAGGTGTATCAGCTGAACCATCACAAATGGCTGTGCATTCAACAGTTCACCGCTCCAGAAGGTTCCATAATAGGTGGAAGATGACTTGGCATCAAGCCAAGAAGGTATCAAAAAAAAGATAGAAAAAGAACGGGAAGAAGTCGTCAGGCTCTCAAAATACCTGTTACCATCTGTCTGTGCAATATCCAGTCAGAAGTGTGAAACCTTTTGTTCCTCAGCCGATAGAGCTGTTGAATCCCAGATCTCGTTGTTCTGCCCAAAGATGAAACTCTCGGAGTTTCTGTTCCAGCAGGTGCCTCAAATAGCACGGAGAATTGCCAAACAGGCGGGCCACCTTTGCACGGGCACCAAGGAAAAGTGTCCATGACGGAAACACTGAGTCGCGCAACACTCACGGTTTCACCACCAAATGTCTAGTCACCTTTAGTCAGTCCATGACTACAGATACATGACCGGAAGAGCCAGGTCAGGTCGGCGCTTGATCGATGTGCAAAGGCCAGTTATGACAAACCTGACTTAGCAATCTTAGCCGGACCTTTCGCTAGGTTCCTTCGGAGTAAAATGTTTTTCTGACCTCCAAACTGTTCCCTTTGCTTGATATGTCAGTAATTACTGTAGAGTCTCGCATGAGATGCAGCCATCTTCGCCCGTGCAAATGAAGACAACTCCTGGAGGAAATCCACAAAAGAAAGAAACAAGCGATCCACCTCATCATCCAACGATCCGATCGAAGAATTTCCGTCTCGCGCACCTTGGCCGCTTGACAAGTCGTTCTCCTTCATCGGCCTTGCAGACTTGGAAAAGGATCTGAAAAGGCGGATCCATCCCTCGTGCGCTCTGAACCACAAGACTCGTGAATCACCAGCAAATGTCTTGATCCCTATCTCGTATGGTCAAAGGAATCCTGAGGACTCCTCCCAACACCCCAATCTATAGTGATCCCATGTGATCCCTTTAAGATGGTCTTGACTGTCTTGCTATTTTTTGATCACTGAACGTAAAAGTAGAGTACCTGAAAAACTCCTCAAACTCCCATCGAAATCGATGATGATATGACAGTCAACACGCTTCAAGTGATCTATCGACTCTGAAGTGTTCCATCTCATCTCGGCCGAAAAGGAACTGTCTCGGCCATCAACATGGAGACGACAGGCGCCTCGACGGCATGGCGCCTCAAAAAGAACAAGGCATTAAGTTCTGCAGGTTGTCCTCGTCAACAAAAAGCAAGCTCTTCT